ATGGCATTTCCTATTAACCAGAGAGTTGGCAGCAGGGGAGCAGTAGACAGCAATTAATGCTGCCACTAAATTTTTGGATCCATGATTTGCAATCCCCTTGATGTGTTGAAATTTTAAATAGACATTTTGATCCTTTTAAACATTTGCAGTCTCAGTTTTAGGTAGAGGAGCAACTTCTGCCATTTCCTGTGCTGCTGCTTATGTTGAAAAAGCTATTGGTGCTGCTTATTTCAGGTCCATACCTGTTAGAAATAAGACACTCCCCCTATACCCGCTTCTTTCAAGCTGCTGTACAAAGATAGGCAATGGTTTGGCTGCTTGTCCACCTATCAATGGCAAAATTTATGACTCTTCCCTCTGCTTATCTGGGAGCATGTGGTGCATGCCTTGCTTTGATTATTAGTGAAGTTATTCTGAATACAAAGCATGACAGTAGCAGTTTGTTTAGGAGGGAATAACACAGCTCAGTGTGCTTTAACAGCCTGTGGAAGCCAGTATTCTTTATAATCGTGTATAGGTGAATATCAAGGCCAATCCTCATTTCCATTTCACAGGTAGTACAATGTGGTTGGTTGCATGCATCTCAATATGCAGTTAGTAGCAGCACTGTGTTTTGAAATACATTTAATAACTTAGGAAATAGATCAGAACAGCAACTATGTAAGTAATGACAAGAAAGAGTAATGACTAAACATGCCTTACCGTGAGTAAAGGATCGTTGTTTTTATCAAATTAGTCTCCCATCCTGACAATCAGTTTGTTTTAAACTTTGTTACACAAATGATGCAGACTGTGAAGGGGCAGTAAGTGTACAGTCACCATAGCCCTTAGCATGCTGTTTTTGTTACACTTTGGAATTTAACCAGAATGACAACCTTGTCTTCTGATACTTCATAGATTGTGCATTGTTGTTCTTCATCTCTTTTCAAAACATCCAGTAATTAGTATAATGATACTGGTACTGATGATGATCCTGATCTTTTCAAGAAGCAGAGAATAAGATTCTATGTGGCTATTAATACTGTGTTACTCCATAACAGTAGGGAGTACAGTTTTTTTTCCCCTCTGGATTTTGCAATCAGTGCAAATGACACAATCATCATAATCTTCCTACAAAGGGCCTTAAAGGTCAGATGCTGAACATGTCCTTTGAGACCAGTTCACTGCTTCCAGGATAATACTTTGAAGTCATAGGGCACAATGTTCTTGTTTATGAACAGACAAACAACACTAAACATAAGCAGTATTGCCAAGAGAGAGGGCAAATGGGAGGGAACCCCCCCCCAAATGGTGGCACATCTGTTCCACCTGGGAAAGTGCATAATACTGCATCAATTCCTGCAGATGTGCCTGAAGTAGAACCAGGAAGCCTAGCTGTGAGAGGGAGGAGACCGTAGTTTAGCTGAACACCATAGTGGTTAGGGCACTTGCTTATAGTATGGGAGATGCAGGGTCTATGTCTCTAGGTTAATCTCAAAAAGTTTAAACCCGTATCTCATACTTCCTAGACAAGTGCCTTTAAATGCAAGACCATTGGCTGGGCAGCGCCAACAGCAACCTCCATCTGTTCTGTTGAAGTTGGCCGGCTGGGCAGCCAACCAGGGAAAATATGTGGAGCTGGAAAAGCAAGCTAGAGAGAGGGGAGTTGATCTGGAAGGCTGAATTCCCTGGGTTCTGACTTCTGTTCCCATGTTTGTATTTTGCAATTTCTAGTTATTGGATAACATGGATAGGCAGCAGTTGGAGGAGGAACCCAAATCTAAGCTGTGCCTTAAGTCCCTGCATGGGGATATGACTGTTTTAAAGTTTAAGAGAATGTATTTGTGCAGGGAAAATGGAGCCACAAAGTATAGCGTTGGGGATCCTTGTTGGGTTTGCCAGTGACAGGTAGGGACCTACTTCAATCATAGCTTTACGATTTTTCCAGAAACCACAAAATATGGTGGTTTCTGTAGTCACTGTGGAAAATGGCATTTCCTGCAATTTTACAGAATTGCCCTCCCTGCAGAAAAGCTTACCAGAATATAAAGAAAATGCAGCAATCTCTGCCGCCATAGCACACGTGGCTTGAGAGAGAGCTATTGAGAGGTTGAGATAGTGACATAGACTCAGTGAAGCTGCTAGTCAGGAAAGCAAGAGAGTTTTGGCAACATCGTTTAAGAAGCCATATGCAAAGCTGTAGTCTGATGATGAGCGATTGGCCTCTTGGCCAATCAGTGGTGAGTGATGGGGCTTCTGGGGCCCCTCATCCAATAGGCGGCAAGGAGGGGGTTCTGCAAAAATACTACAAAATCAGCTTTACACACCGTAAGTGGGCCATGAAAATCCCTTTGTCTTGAGGCAATTTAAGTAAGTCCCTAGTAATAGGAGTCAGGAGATGAGTTACTTTAATCTAAATGGTCTTGAAGTGAAGCCAAAGTTTATGCTTTGAGGGTTGGCTTTGCCCATAAATAAGAGTGTGCACATGTATCTGAAATCTATTTTAGTGTCCTCTGCTTTGGGATGAAGCTTTTTTTTTTTTTTTGCATTACTTCTCTAAGAGATTACACCTCAATTTCTTATTCATAGAAAGTGAAGAGCAATATAGTAGTAAATAGAAATGAGAAAGGAAAGGATAGAAAAAGCTTGAGATAAATACTGAATTTTTAAAATAAATCCAATGTGAAAAACAAAATAATAAATATTATTTTGATATTGTATTACCTGTTTCTAGTGTTGATATGAATCCTTTGTCACTTCCATTTAATAACTGTTACAGTTTGCCTGCTATCTATTTATCCAAATATTTGAATAACAATTTTCCAGTTGCTTTAGCAAAGTCTATAGAATCTATTTTTGTTCTCATTGTATTCAGGCAAACATCCTTTCATTTTTCTTGTCACTTAATATCTATATTTATCAATTGTGTTCCTTAATGTTATGCTTTCTGCTGCAAAAGTATTTTTCATAGTCTCCTGAAATCAGAATTAGAAATAGAATCCTCCTACACATCGCAGTCTGGCTTTTATGTTTAGATGCTGTAAGTCTCTAAATGGCATACAGAGGTCTGTCTTTCAAATCAGTTCTACTAAATATAATAATTATTTATACAGTTGGCTTCTTTTAATCTACATTTTATTATTCAGGTAATCAGTTTTAATTTCCCTTTTCACTTTGTTTGATACCTTTAGCTGTATACTATAGACATTTGCATGTTTTTTCTTTCCTTTCTTAGCTATTTACTTAATTGCCTCATGATTAGATTCTTCGTATTTCTCTCATCTAGGTGATGTCAGTTTTGATAACTTCTGCACATATCCAGATATTGTTCAAGCATCTGCTCCTCCCATTGGTGCTTCATTCTGAGTTTTAAACCTTTAAGTGGCCATTTGTCATTTCTGTTCTCAGTATGTAGCACGTCTATTTTTAAATTAATATTGTTTCAGCATCTATCCCCAGGGCTCTCACCAGGATTTTAAGGGCTCATCTGTAGGGAAAAAATTAACACCTATTCTCCATCCTGTGGTGAGAAACAGGTTGAAAGAAACAGGAGGCTTGTAAAATGAAAAGCCTTTTAGTATTTAATAATATATGAAAAAAGGAAGTGCTGAGGTGCTTGCCAAATACACATTCTTTTCTAATAGGGGTAGCTGGCTGCTCAGCTCTTCAGCAATATTGTTTGTACTGTGGTTGTAATTTGAAAAGTTTAGTCTGAGTCAGCTTCTCTGTATCTAGGCTCTGACAAAAGCTTTCTGCTGAAAAGCAGCCGAGTGCTGAATTTTTTGGGTAATATAGAGCCAGGTAGCAACATTGGTTCAGAAATGAACAGGCACAAGCTAGTACAAAAGAGTGAATGAAAAATGTCTGCTGAGCTGAAATAAAACCTGACTCATAATTGATGATCCCAGGCATGGTGGCCCTTGGCTGTCCTCCATTTAAGCCTTATTAGATTGTGTGTGGCTGCCCTGGAAAACTACACTTCTAAAAACCTTTCAGCTGTGAATGGACTGATTCAGGGTGCTAGGTTTCAGCTCCCTCAGAAGTCATTTTTTGCCAAAAATATGTGTACCTAGAAGGAAGAAAAGACAAGATCCTACAAGTATTTAGTGATTGTACAAAATGGGTGTAGGCATTTGCATCTACTCAGATTTTGGTCCCAATAAAGCCTTGTTAGGGGGAAGGAAGAAATCAGGGGACAAACTGAACTCACAAAGGAGTTAACAAATGGTGCTAACAGAGGGAATGGGGACATGGGTATCTTTATAAGCTGTTTTTACAGTGTCCATATTTGAACCCTACCGTGTTCGTAATTACAGTCTCATGGAAGATGAATTTACATTCTGAGTACAATGAGGTATCCTTAGACAAGATTTGCTGAAGCAGAGCACATCTGAACCCTTTCACATAAAGCTGTGAGAAGGGGTGGCATAGAGCCACTCCAAAAACTCTGCTTAGTCCCCCCGCTTTCAATGATAGTGTGTGTGTGTGTGTGTTTCTATTCAGAACATTTTAGTCTATTAAAGCTGCATAGAAAGTCTAGAATGCAATGGAGAATGGACATCCAAACATTTTATATCTTTTTCCTCTTAGGAAGCAGATGATATATGGAAATAGCAGGGACTTGAGTGCAATCAGAAGTGTCATTCATGTCACAAGTTCTTCACTTTTCTTACATTTCAGTACCTTGTTTTATTTAATCCTAGTTCAAATTATTATACACTGATTCCTTTTTTAATTATGTAGAATATGAATAAAGGTGTTGAGAAAATAAGAAAACATTACAATTCAAAGCTGTATGAACTTGATCCTCTGATAAATATGTGTTGCTATTGTGCAACCAAGGCCTGATGCACCACCCATTGAAGTCACAGAGGGTTTTCCATTGGTATCAGGGGGCCAAATAGGACAAAATTCCCATGAATGTGTGTCTGACTTGGAAATGATCATTTGAAAAGTGTGCTGCATGTTTTGGCTAACTGGCTTCTCTCTCTCTCTCTCCCTCCCTTTTTTCTCCTTATCAGGGGGTATTTTTGAATGTGTGGAATCTGGCCCAATGGGAGCTGAGGAATTAGCCTTCAGATTTGCTGTAAACACAATCAACAGAAACAGAACTCTACTGCCAAACACCACATTAACATATGATACCCAAAAGATAAATCTGTATGACAGTTTTGAAGCATCAAAAAAAGGTAACCTTTTGCATATTTTAAACTTTTATGTCAGCTAAACCTAACTTGGACCACACAACTGAAAAACTGCCATCGATAAAGCAGTATGGAATGATACTGTACAGGGTTATGGCATGCACTGCTGACATCAAAAGACAATCTTTAAAGATTGTCCTTAAAGGCTCCAAAGCTAACAGCTCGAAAATTGTGTTGTGTCAGCACTGCTTCCACTGCCTTTATTCAGAGACTCCTTTTAGGTTTAAATATTTAAAATTTGAAATCAATTTTGCATGAAGTTCAAGATTAGTCGCTGTCCCTTGGTCTACTGGCTGCCCCTAACTCCACATGAAGTCAGGGTCAGTTGATAGCTCTTTGCACCTCATAGGACTGGGCCCTTTATGCTTTGCAAGTGACTCCATGCTGTCATCAAGGATATATTTCCACTGCAGTGACTGTACCTCATGTAAAAAAAAATTGCCAAGCTAGGTGAGCCTTGAGTTGCCACATCTATGCTGATTAGCTATACCTGAGTTACTTGTTTAAAGTTAGCTTGGGTGTATCAACTGAGCTGCAGTTACTATAGCACAGATGCACCTTAAAATCTTGCCCATCTTTTAAGGGGAGTGACTTTTAGGCTTTTCCTGAGCAGAGACTATTTCATGACTGAAGTGAGAGTTCCTGTTTTGTAGATAGTCACAAAAAGTTGACACTGTTAATCAAACTTCGGCAGAAGCCACTGAGTAAATTGAAATAAGGGTTCCTAAGACAGAGGTAGCCCTTACTTGCTGCTTCCGACATCTGTCAAATTTAGAGATAGGTTTGAACAGGATCTCTTGAGTTAGGCTGTTCAGAATCTCGATCTGAATGTTGTGACAGCCTATCATTATATAACTAAATCCTCCTCCTATGTGTTTACCTGGGCTCAAATTTAGTTCTAAGCATTTAAGTATTTTTTAAAGTCCCTATTCAGCAAAGCCTTTAAGATCATTCTTAAGTCTCATTGAAGTCAATAGGACTTATGCATGACTGTAAAAATTATGCCTGAGCCTCAGAACTTTGCTGAACAGTGAAGGATTGCTGAAAAGAGGCCTGGAGATTTACCTCAAGTTTTAAATAGATTTTTTAAAATGTAAACTCTGAAACAAATGTTGTGGTAGTATCTTCTGTTTCAGATTACTGTAGCATTGGGATGCTACAAACATACTGTATCCCAATGGTATGAAATCCAACATAATGACCTAAAAAAGAGAGGCTATTAGATGTTGTGAGACTTGTCTGTGTGGTCTTTTATTCCTAAAATATGCATGTATCTGATTCATGTTTGAGTCTTCTGGCATTCTACACATTTCTAAAGCATTTTGCCCCTGTAAATCAGAAAGGGAATTATATGTGTCTTTCTATTTGATAACATAGTAAGGGTGGTCAAGAGAGTTAATCAGGTTTTATCAGAGGTTTTGAGTCTAAATGCATAAGTTGATCTGACTCAGTGTGCCAGGTTGGGTTTACAGTAATGACGCATATACATTTGGGGCTGGATAGCAGAATCTAGGCTGCTAATATTTCTTTTAATCCTCTTTTAGAAACTGCACACAAAAATCAGAAAAATAAAAGATTCATTGCTGCTTCAAAATGCATATACACATAGGTTACTTTTAACAAATAAAAGGGAAATTAAGGGAAATTCACTATATTGATTAAAGCTTTGGCTTAAAATACTAAGCAATTGACTTTGAGGAGGCTTATTATCTTTTATGAAAGGCTGAAGGGCTTGGCCTTTTTCACTTGTGTGCTCCAATCACCTGTTTTGCCATATGCATTACTTAATAAAGGTGTTAATAATTGCTGAATGTAAAAAAAGAACATACTGCCCTATTTTGTACAAGTAATAGCAGCATGAATTTGCTGCAGTGACTTCTTTAACAGCCTTTTAAAAATATACTATGGCAGTGCAGGGGCATAAAGGGGAGAAAAATACTCCCTGAGCAGAGCCACATTAGATGGCTCTTCTGGGTACTGCTCCTTCCCAGTCCTCAGAGAATGGTTTAGTAGTGGGGTGGAATCCATCCATTGTGCACTGTTTGGCACAATATATTTGGGGCTGGATAGCAGAATACATTTTTTCTCCATCTCCTTAGGGAACAAAGACGGTACAAGGATGGAAATTTAATTTTCCCAGCTCTTATTTATTTTTCGGCAGCACTACAAGTTTGTTTCTCTAAATCAAGCTAAGCCTAAATGTATATTTTACCTCTGTTAGTCTTACTCTGCAATTCATTAGACAAAAGAGCTTTGTGAGCATTAAAATAGCTGCATATGAGTAATGACTAGATGTTTTGGGGTATATGCATATCTCCCATATGTAGCTGACGATGAGATGCTGCCCCTTTCAGTTGTAGCTAATTATATCAAAATCTGTGTATAATCTCTTATAGTTCATGGCTTCATGAATTCAAAGTATTTTCACGCATTTGACAATTGTTTTTGTGCTGAAAGGATTTTTGGTCAGGAATCAAAGTCTAAAGGTTAACATAAAATGGTGCATTTACTATTGTGGCTACAAAATATGGTTTTAACAACTAGGTTAAGGCATTTGCTTAGTTAATGGGGTTCATGATTATGTCCATTACTGAGCAGGCAGGCATTGCGTAGAAAATACAGTCTGTTTAGACCTCCTCATTCCGCGTACTCCTGGAGTTGAATACAGATGAGCGAGTAATGAGTTTTTAAAGATACCACACAAAAGAACAACCTCAAGACAAGATCACAACTTCCCCAAATGTTTTTTGAATGAAGGGTAATTTCCCTTAATATTTTAGAGGGGGAAATGGTATGGCCTCTTATAGAACAGTGCTATATAAAATCATGCGTGAAATCATCATATTTTCAAATTGCAGAAGTTGGGGAGGGGAAGAATTGGGTGTGGGGGGGAAGCCCATTGAAAAACCATCTGGTAGTTATCACTGTTGTTAGAGATCCCATCTACTGACATTTGCATAAAGCTTAAGGATTACACTCAGAAAGGGCAATATTTGCATAAATGTTTTTATTAAAATATAGTCGCTTAGGCTTTTGATGTGTCACAGAGACGCATGCAGGTGGTATCTTATGCCTTTGAGAACCCCAGGTTTTAGTCACTGGTGCTCTGTATGAATACAGGTACATTCCTACATAATTCTCAAACTCGGTAAGAGATATCTAATAGTCATAATGTCACAGTTTAAGTAAGTTAAACTTCTCCAGGGAATCTTTGATTCTGAATTGGTGGAAAGAGTGCCATAACGATATCTGCATACAGCTATATACATAGATATATATAGAGAGAGAGAGATAATGTTATGGCACTCTTTCCACCATATATATGTGTGTATGTGCATTTTATTATTTATAGAGATAGAGATATATATATGAGTCTGAGAGAGATGCTCAGAGAAAGCTCTCTAACTTTATAATATTAATTTATAAAAGGGAGGGAGGGGAAAAACCCTCAAATTTTAACTTGTGACATTTTGATGCATGGCCATACAGGGGATATTTTTAAATACTTTGTCAGTATGTGTGTAACAGTGTATATTGACTTCATTTTTTAAAGTTCAAAATATAATCTCCTCTGGGGGAAAACATTTAACCCCTGCATTCTGCCAGTCAAGATATCCTTTTGGAGTTTATAAAACCAAATGCTGAGATCATCATAAGCCACCATCTGCACTTAATGTTACATTGTTCTTCTGGGATGAAATCCACTTAAGCCTGTGGAAATGTTGAGTTCTTTGGTTCTTAATGTAAATAGAGTGGATGGATTGGGGAAGAAATTCACATAGAAAACATTCTGGTTAAGGGTTCAGTCCCATATGTTCAGTCTCCGGAGTCAAGATTTTTTTCACTGAGATTTGCAAACAGAGGTATTGGAACAGAGTCTTTGCAACTTGTATGCATTAATGGGAGCTTTTTCTAAATGTACTTATATGCTATGTTAAATTGCAGTGGAAACTGAAAGAATTATTTTACAATTATTAATTTAAAGTGAAAGTCTTCAAGCCAAGTGTTAGACCTGAATAGGACAGGAACTCCTTCAGGAAAGTTGTTTGTATGTGTTTGAATTTACTTGTTTTTCTTTTCTTGTTTTTAATTAAATTTCATGGAGTTCCTTTTAATTAATGTGAATAGTACAATACCTTCTGGCACATTGCCTTCTCTCCTCTCATCATTGACAGAATTCTGTCTCCTCTTCAGCCTGTGATCAGCTGTCCCTTGGGGTGGCAGCCATCTTTGGACCTTCCCATAGCTCCTCAGCAAATGCTGTGCAATCCATCTGCAATGCGCTTGGTGTACCACATATACAGACTCGCTGGAAACATCAGGTGTCAGACAACAAAGACTCCTTCTATGTTAGCCTCTACCCAGATTTCTCTTCACTCAGTCGTGCTATCCTTGACCTGGTGCAGTTTTTCAAGTGGAAAACCGTCACTGTTGTATATGATGACAGCACTGGTAAGTCAAATCAACTGGATTGTGTACACGTGTATTTGTGTGTGTGCATGTACATACGTGTTTTCTAATTATTTTAAATTTTTAGTTTAAATGATCTTCAATACTCATAACTGAAAGAGATGGGTAATTCTATGAGTAAAATGCAGCATAACATGCAATTGTTATATATGGTTGGTGTAACAGGCGGCCTTCTCGGGGCCGATTTTCCTGTGGCCCGCCCACCTGTTTCTGGGCTAACCGCCTGCCTTCTCATCTGCCATACCTTGTTGTTAATTAATTAATTTATGTTAATTAAGCGTGAAACTGCCCATTTCTTGTCCGATGCCAGGGGGTGCTATCTGCAGCTCTGTTCCTCCCCTACACCACAGCCCAAGCCTCACAGATGGCATCCAGCTATTGCCAATATCACCAGCCCCACACTGGGCCCCAGAATCCTGCTATTTGAACCCCACCTGGATCCCTCCATTCAGGAGGCCTATGCTGTCTTCATTCCAGACTGCATAGCTCCCTGAGCTGCTTCCCCCTTAGGGGTGTGGTCCCCCCAGGACCTTTGGCTCTACTGGCCCTGGCCCACTTCCAGGCCAGTCGGAACCCCAGGCCCTCAGCTCTGGGTGTCCTGTGTGGTGGGCCCCTGGCCTTTCAACCCTTTCAGTCCTGGCCTCAGCATGGACCAGTTAGGAGATGTCAGGACAGGTTTGAGTCTATGGCCCCACTCTCTCGCTGGGGTCCACCTTCCAGACCCTACAAAGGGGTAACCCACCCGGTTGTGGAAGCTGGGATTAAGGTGCCCTGACCCACCTTTCACTGGAGTGGTAACTAGCCTAGCATTTCCTGGGGGCTCCCGCACCACTGAGAGCCCCACCAGGCCACCCAATCCCAGCAGGGTGCAGTTTTAGGTCATACCCAGGACCAGGAGCCTCCTGACCATCCTCTACAGCTCCTGCCCTTACCTTCAGATGATACCAGCAGCCCTGCAGCCAGGCAATGTTGTTGCCTGGCCTTCCAGCAGAAAAATTCCCTGTTTATATGGGCAGCCCTAAATCCAGAATGGCTGCCCTCATCAAGCACTTCCTGGCTGCTGTCTTCAGGCCCTTAAAGTGGCAGGCACAAACAGTGCCCTGCCTCAGCTGTTTTTTTTTTAATTAAAAGAAAGAAGGAAAGAGAAAAGGCAGGGATCCTAAAAATAGAAGGCAATGGGAAAGGGGTGATGGTATGCCTTGCAAGTGTGTACCAGTTGATTTTTGACCTTGCTCCCTGGTGTTAGCTAGATGGGAAACAAGGCAAAAAGCTTTCTTGCTTTCATCTATTTTCACTTTTGCATAGGACTGTTGAAACCTGCAGTCTAAGATTTGCAAAGGGATTTGCAAAATTAATTCTGCGATTTGGCTCTTAGGAGTTGAAAGCAAATTAACCTTGAAGACTTCCTCTGTAGACTAAAATTTGATAAAATTAAACATTTATCTTCCAAGGAGGATTCTTGATATTCCATATCATTCTACTCCACATCTGTTCTGCCCTGTCAAGGACCAACATACTTCAAATAATCCCTGAACCCTTCCTTCTTATTTGACATCTCTTCTAGCAAGTGCAAGGTCAAAACAAGGACTTGATGACAGGAAGAGATGACTGTTGGGAAAGAGGCACGGAAGCTAACTGGAATAAATTAAGTAAGGAAGCTTCTTGGATGGTGACTCCATCCCAGTTTTGCTGAATGGCCACTAAGGGTCAAGCTCTTTGAGCAACATGAACCTCAAGATTACATCTTAGCTAAATGGGCCAGGGATTTATGGAAAATGTTTTTGTGTAACTTGGCCTCTAGCTGAAACTTACAAGTCCAAAGACAGATGAAAGCTAACATTTAAAAAAGGAGGAAACATATCAGTGATCAGTATTGCATTAAGAGGTGGATGCAATCCCAATGGAGGCCTGGTGTCCTTGCAACAGTACAAATATATAGTTTCTACATATATCTTCAGCTGATAAGACATACCAAGAAGTGTAGCATAAAAATGGTGTGGAGGTGAGCATGAGTGATAACAGTGATAGGAATAGCCTAGCTATGAACAGAATTAGCAGTGCTTAGATACAAATAAAGAATAAATGTTTGCTGGCATATATTATTTACTAGGAATTCAACCTAGTCATTTATCAGGAGTAATGTTTCATAAACAAAAGGTGATCAAACTTATCTTCAAGCTTAGCAGTATAATCTGTAGAGATGGGTATGGAATGATGTTCCTGTTCCACAATTTTTTTTATTTCAAAACGTTCCTGTCCAGATAGGGACAAAGGTCACAAAATTTTTCAAAATATAGTAAAAATGAAAATGAATCAGTGATTTCCTTCAAGTAATTGGAAATATTTTATTTGAATAATTCTGAAATAGTTCATTTGTTTTTTATTGGTTTACAATTTGTTTAATATAATTGGCTTACAGTAAATTAATTTATAATGGGAGAATGAATTCCTCCCTTTAAAAATATTCATTTTTTGCATACTCAAAACTTATTTTTTCAAATTGATACTCATGTTAAATAATCTATCCAAACACACTTTCACATGAAAAGTTTGTTTTAACGTATCTTTTTCCTGATGAGCTATGTTGGGTATCTGGGTGGAGGGGAGAAGGGGAGGACAAGAGCGGGGTTTGTTTGTTCATTTTGCTTTTTGAAATTTTTTATACCAGTGTAAAAATATTTGCATAGTGATCATGTAGACCGGAGATTTTAGGTTGAAGGGGTATCTCTTGAACTTGTTGTATACCGTCTATATAAACATAGACGTAGCATTTTGCTTACACAACTGCAAAAGAGTGTGTATATAAAGATAACAGTTAATATGATGCAAATGCCTTTTGTTGTTGGTTAGTTCTCCTCAGAAATAACCACGAACAAGAAACTCATTGCTCTACATTTGTAAAGTTGCTATAGCATTCTTTTTTTGGTTCCTTATTAATTTATTTAAAATATTTATCAATTTCTAAAGTCTCCTTGAATTTTCACCTTTTGAAACTGCCAGCGCCAGCTGAGAATTTGCAATCCCAGCTGAAGCATCTTGAAAGATGGTCTCTCTAGATGGGGGTTGGAGGGAGGGCGACACTGTTTTAAAAAATAAACTTTCAATCTTTTCATGGTCTTGTCTGTAAATAATTTTAAAGTCTACTTCTTAAAAACTGCCAGCATCTCTTTGTTGAGAGCAGCTCCCTCGGATACTTCAAATGCTTCAAAGGCAGGACACGCTGCTGGGAAGTCCACAGCATTGCCTGCCTTTGAAGTACATATGGGAGCAACTCTTAGCTGTGAGAAACTGTCAATCTTAAAAAACCTAGACTTTAAATCTTGTTACTGCTGGCCTAAAAACTGATTTAAAAAACGCTTTTTGAAGAAGACAGTTACTCTGGTCTGAGAAGAGGTCCAGGCCCCTTATGGATACTTCTTATGTGAAAAATTCCATGGTTGAAGGCTTGGGCTGAAACCAAAAGAGTTTCATCTAATGCTAAAAGACTGAATCTAATAGAGATCCCAGAGGCTTAATTTCAAAGCCACTGAAATGAATGGGAACAATAAATCAGGCAAAAATTGTTTATTTTTGTATGCACATCTTGGCTTTCTAACCAGGGCCATAGAGAATGTAAATATGGGATCAGTGTATATTTTCTTCTCTACTGCTATCCCTTCTCCTCTCCCTCTAAGAGCTATTTAGGATTGATGGCAATATTAGCCGCTCAGGTTCATGATTTAGTTCCTTGATAATGGAATTTCTCTTTCCAAATGAATATTTCCAAAATAGACATCTATTCATAGGAATGGTAACAATATGCTCCAGAAGTTATATGGTATTCTTTTCTTCCTTCTTAAAAATGTTCATTTTTAAAAGATGTATTTACTTTGTATAGTCATTATTTCTGTAAGTACTTAAGTATTGCTGGCAATGTGGAATTGTATTTAGAGGGAAAAAGTGAAGGGTAGTTTGAAAGTGTATACTGATTTATACTGTAACAGATATCCGGATATTTTAAAGGATACATCTCCAGATAAAACCATGAGTCTATGCATACTGGGGAAATGAAGATATATTAAAAAAAAAAACCCAAACAAATAGGGTCTAATTTTTGATGCAGCATTCAGGTTTTTGTTCATTAAATATTCTCAGTTATAGGTGACAGGTGCTGGTTCAGGTGATGTTTTCTTTCCGAACAAGCTGGATCGAGTTCAATCTTGCTATGGTAGAAGTGCAGAAGACTCCCACTGAGAAAGTGGAACATGACATGGGTCAGTCTTTGGAGCCAGAGAGGCTAACTGAATCAGAGATGGATGAGTTTTCATGAGCAAGAGTTCACTTCATCAGATGCAAAACACACACACACACACACACACACACACACACA